TTTGGAGCAATACAAACCAAAATGCTGCTCGAATTAAGCCGTAAAATTTTAGTCGCTTAAAAGTTGCTGTATGCAGAACGAAATTATAATAATGTTTACGAGATTTCCAATTTATCGTCAAAACTGGTCTTCATTAAACAAATGATGAAGAATTATTGAAGTACACGTTGGTTCAAATGTCCATTTACATTGGAATTCGTAGCAATAGGGAGAAGTCACAGTTGAGTTACAAGATTCAAGAGCAGCAAACGAGAGTTCAAATCCATGGTATTATAACCTGAGATTTAGAAATAATTTGCTCCAGGTTACAGCATTGTGCAAATACTTAAAGAATTAAATTCAAATAATTTTTAATTTGATCGCATTTATTGTACATGCTTTTTAAGGATCACACGGAGTGTGAAATTTCATAAAAAAATTTATTTTCTTGCTTTTGCATATTTTAATAGCTAATACCTTTCGAAATAACACACTAAAATTTTAAATGAATATCTCAAGTAATTTTTGAGTTACAGCCTTCTAAAGTTTAGTTGCTCAGGTATTATCTACAAGCAAAAAAAAAATAAATCTACATTTTTCCAACTGGCTGCCGTTGTAATTCGAAGACCAATTATTCCATCGCCTTCATATATTTTTCTGTACAATGAACTTTCTGTGCAATTTTTCAACAAAACTCGACAATTTTTTTAAAGTCTGTCATTTTGTTAAGTTTCTCTCAGAATCTCCAAACACTCATACACTCACGGTTCTACTATAGCATACTAAAAAAAAATCGATTTTCAGAATAACTAGAGTGAATATATAATTAAAGACACACTTGTCTCCATCATTCCCCAAATTTAGGTCAACTGCGCCAAATACAAAAAAAAGCATGATAAGCGAACTATGATTTTTTAAGTGAATTTTTTTTCAAATCAAAAGCACAGATAATTCAAGTTCGATCAGCAATACTCAAGCAAATAGACTCGTATAGAGAGATACTTCCTAAGAGCGCATATAGTATACATATATTTATGTATGTTTTAAGCACATGATTGCAATGACGTAATGACTTTCTGGTGTCCTAAGTTTTAAAAATAGGTAAATCACTTTAACTTGAAAGTAGAGAGCTGACGTGTGAAATCACGGCACATTTGCAAATACGATTGAGTGCAAAAATATGTACAACAAAGCGTCTTAATTAAACATAAGCGTTGGGAGTGTATTATGCAATGAGAGTATAACCACTTGAACGAATATGGACAGAAAGTAGACGTGACGTATAAGTAATATGAAAAGTATTGACACATCATGAAGTAAATTGAAATTTTAATATGGAATCCAAAAGTTAATTTTGTAAACTACTATAAATTGGTAGAGAAATAGTGGTTCCTAATAAAAATTACTAAATATTTACATAAAAACTCTCTTCCAGGGAAAGGTCATCGCAAGACTCAAAAAAACCGAATTTGAGAAATTTTTCAGAGAGATTAGACCTTTGACTATACCATAAATGATAGTAATTGAAAGAAACGTGTCAAAATTCCTTTCGTCCTTGACTTACACAGCAAAATTATTATTATTTTTTTTTTTTGGTTATTTCTATTGAGTTAGACTGATGTTAATGATGTATAAGCAGTCCCTTTCCCTATTTTTTTTTAAAAACATTGACAACTTATTGTAAATGTAGGAATCTCAGTAACTTAATAGGATCGTGTACCACAACAAAGTTATGCAGTTGTGCCCAAAAGAAAACCGCTAACCATTTTTTATCCGAACGGTTTCGCAGCCGTTTGTTTACGGCGCGAAAAGTTTGTATGCCAATTTTTACCTTAAAAAAAAATCTTACAACGAATTTGCTTAAACATTTGTGTTTTCAATGAAACGGATACAGAATCGATCAAAATATTGCAGAAGTGTTTTGGAGAGTCAACTTTATCACGAAGACATGTATTTAAAGAGGATAAAGCATTCAGTGAACATCATGAACTCATTAAAACTTGTCGCATACTAAAGACAATAACATCGAAAGAGTTAAATAAACCGTGCTAGAAAATCGTCGCGTTTTCATCAAAGGGATAGCAAAGGATCTCAACACCTCCTGAAGATCAAGTCAACACATTTGATATTTTGAATATTTAAATAGAACTGAAAATATTGCACAAAATGCAACATTACTGGCGACGAAACGTGGTTTTATGAATATGACGTCGAAATTGTCCAGGAATCTACCGTAAGGTGATGCAAAAATGAGCCGAAACCGAAAAAAACAATATTCGCTGAAGGCATTGCAGGCCATTCCAGCCAATTTATATAAAAAGTGTATGTAAAATTATATAAAACGTTGACATACTTATGTTGACCCAGGAAACTTTTTTGAAGGCGATAAAAAATATTTGTATGAAATTACATGAAAATGTGTTTTTTTTTGTCTGTCCGAGTCAAATTTGATCATATGATATTTGTACCGATTTGGCAAAAAAATCATCAGAAAATAATTTGTTGTAAATAAAAGCTCTTCAATATACTTCATATGTATATGAACACGCTCGATTTAATTTTTTTAAGTAACCCTGAAAATCTAAATACTCTAAATTAACGTAATATATTTATATATGTAAACTGTTTATTTAAATACTGGCCCTTAACATTTTGTACTACATACAGTACAAATAAAAGTTTATGCATATACACACACACTTACATACAAGCATACAAAATACATATGTACTTTAAAGGCCACCTAAGTGCTTTGACACAACGGAATTTATTGCGTATTTCGTCGTCATGAGCTCACGTGCATACTCACAGGCGAGTAAATACATATACATATGTATGTATGTATATATTTCTTTATGACTGTATTTATATATATTTATTTTTTTTATGACTGTATTTGTTTTCCAAACTATCTAGTTGTGTATTTTGAACTCTGCACACACTGCAGTTGCGCCCACCGTGTAAGTTTACAGTTTGCTGCAACTACAATAAGAACAACACCATAACCAGCAATTTTAACCGCAAATCAAACAAATCAGCGGCATTTACTTAGCAAAGTAAACCAAGTAAAATCGCAATAAATGAAGTGAGCATAGCAACAACAAGAGCAATTAAACACAAACTCACACGTCACGAACAGCGGTGTATTTATGGTACATTCAGACGCATACATGTACTGCGCACATTTGAATATTTGTATATTTCAAACTTAATTTTCATAAGCGGCATTTGTTTGCCGCCCATTTGCTTACGTTTTACACGCTTTGCTTTGAGCGCCTGAAGTTTTCCAAATGTTATTACACTTTTTTTTTATTTTTTTAACTTTGGACACTCTCATTTTGTTATTTTTGTTATATTGTCAATTCAAGGTGTGTAAATTTCAAATACTCATACACAACTCCAAATAAATAGCACGCGCCAACAGACCGTCTGAATAAATGAATGAAACAACGAGCGAGCGCTTGACTAACAGCAATGAATGGCGGCTTGAGTCAATGATCGCGCTGCTAGAGTGACAAGCCAAATGTAAGACGCACACACACACAAATACACAGTGTTGTGTAAAATCTTGGTAACTACTTTGCATTAGTTGTTTTGTTGTTGTTTGTTGTTTGCTGTTTAAGCGTTTTTCTATTGCCACTTTGCATGCGCCTTATAATCTTTACGGTTGCTGTTGTTATTATTATTGTTGTTGTAGTAATTCATATAGCGCAGCAATATTTATTTAGTAACGTAACTGTTGCAATTTAATAGCTTTGCACTTTACTCCTGCAGTCACCGTTTAATATTGACAGTGAAGGTAAGTCACCCATACGCCGTGGTGTACACACATGCGCGGAGTTTTATTCGGTTATGCAAATTAATTGAAGTAATTTGAGTTTGCATTGTAAATAAATATTGTTCTCAAACACTTTGGTTTAGATTTTCATCAAGCGTTTCTAATTAGTTGTCAACGCCTATAAATGTAATATGTAAAAAAAAATTATAAAAAATACTTATATTTTCGCAAATGTTAGTAAATAGTTGCAATTGCCGCGCCTTTTTGATAGACAGGCACACCAACACATGCACAAAGAAAGATTTTATTAAGGTTGTGTAAGTGCGTAGGCCATTTAGTTACTCATACGCCTACGCAAATAAGTTTATAGAACCTATTTTTTGTTGATTTCATTTAAGGCGTCATTCATTTTTAAAGGGAGTGCTGTAAATTTTTATTTTGAATAAAGTAATATAATTAAGTATGAAAATCACACCTCTTTAATTCAAATAGTTTTATCCGTCCACATTTAATTTGGAAAACAAAAAATATAAAATATATACTAAGATGTGTCCCTTAAAAAAATCAGAACGAAGAAGCATTGGCTATTGCTTTATTGAGTACCTTTTAAGTTTTTGTACGAGTATGTGAGATTGCCTAATGGTATTAGCCATGTTCTTGAAAAACATTTCAGTAAAAATTCTTCGATCATGCTTGATTATATGGACGAAAACTAAATTTATTTTTATATTGTGGTTAATTATGGATTTTTTACAGATTTATCACTGCTTTTTGGCAATTAGTGTGCCTTTGGCAGCTGCAATATCGAAAAAGTCAAAAAAGTTTAACTTCTAAGGACACACAAAATTTATCCAACTCGATATATGAGCTTTAAAAATGTTTCCCGTAAATTAATTTAATTAATTAATTTTAACGTATTTTAATGAAAATCTTTAATATAACCTTCAAAATACGCGCGCAATTCAAATGAACCCGTCCGACTCCAATTTGTTCTAACGGAATAACTAGAACGTTGCCACCAGGAAGGGTGAAAAAATATGTGATTTATTGACCTAACATTATGGTAAACTATTTCTTCAATAAATGTCGAACAATGTGGAGTCACTGATATCGGTCAAACTATCTGTCATGATAACAACACTCGGCTAGATTGAAGGAAAATTTGTCAGTATTCAAAACAATTTTCCAAAACACACAGCATGTTAAACAAAAAATTTTAAGAAATTCACTTTCAGTTACTCACCGCATAGAGGATATCCCAAATCAAAGAAAATACTTTTAGAGTTTTTGTTGAACACGCCATGCTTGTTGCTATTTATTTTTATACAATTCACTATAAAATAAAATAAGAAATTAAAAATGAAAGTGTATCGAAATAATTCTAAATTTCGCGGCGCTAATTTTTCGAAAAAACCATACAATTTTATATTGTATACATTTAAAATTGCCGACAACAGAAACCGTCACATCAAAGTTGGCAAAGTAAACACCGAGGAAAAGCGAGCAAAATGTGAAAACACAAATAAAGATGACAAAATCGGATGGAAAATTCGTTCATTTCGGCATATTTTTAAACGCCTGCTATTCTACTACACTATATATGCGCGAATGCCTATTTGAATGTCCATTGTCCACCAATATTTATTTTCGGACACGCGCTTGTTTCGTCTCTCGAATGAAATTCATAAATTTTCCAAAATCCAAAATTAGCAAACGAAATTAGAATACACATAAATTTGCATTGCACTTTGCTAACAGAGCATGCAGTTCTGCATTTAAGCACGCACTCGTCCCTCTGATACCCTTCTAAAGCCTTTCTATAAACACTTAGGCACCAGTACAACAATTTTCATAGAAGCATATGTGTATTTATGGCATTTCACACAAATCGCGCGCAAATTTCATTTCACTGAAAAAAATTCGAATTTGAATAGCACTACACCGTTATTACCGTGAAGTGCTAGCGAATTGAAAAACCATCAACGGCGCCAAGCGTGAATAGACTGAAACTAGCTACACCTCCAATGCGACTATTTCGTCGCCGCTAATAATTTGCGTTTACTTTTGCTTATTTGATTTAGATTATTCGCTTTTGCATTTTGCCTCAACAAAAATTGTGTTTGCCACTTTTCAGCTTGATTTTGCCTTTACATTTGCGATTCCAACCGCTTGGGAGCATAACAACAAATAGTTGGCTGAGAAAATTTCGCATGGAATTAATCGAGAATGAAACGAGCAAAAGCAAACTATTCTTAACACTTCTCACAGTGAGCTCGATAACCCTGCAAGAAAAATTTACTGAATGTGTGTTGCTAAATGCAGAGTTGTTGCTATTTTTATTAGCTGGCAATTTTTAAATTTACTAATAAAAAATCATGAAAACTTTTTTAGAACTCAGCTGTGACTTTGCTATTTTTTATATATTTTTTTTTTTTGTCACTTAATATAACTTTCTAACTTAGATTAGTACAACCATTTTTATGTTCGTGAAAGTTTGATCTCCATATATCAATCAGTGTGTGTTTCGCAGCTGTTTGTTTACAGAGAACAGTTTGTACGGCAAATTTTACAATGATAAGAAAAATTTAACAACGAGTTTGCTCGAAATTTGGTCTTGGCACAAAGCATTTAGTTAAACATCGAATAAGTTGTACGTAAAAATCAGAGGATTTCAACAACTTTTATAGATGGACTCAACACATTTTGGTTAAGGTTTTATATACTTGTATGAAGCGTGTCAATACTAGACTCCTACTAGTAGACCTAAACCTTTAGTAAAAACCTTGTCAAGTAGAAATCGCAAAAGAGATACTTGACAACATAGCTTAGGACCGTAGATTCATTAAACGTTTCATTATTTTTGACGAGACGAGGGTTTATGAATAAGACGTCGAAATTATCCAACAATGTAGCTAATGGCGAAATCAAAAAAAAACAAAATTCGCTTAACGCACTAAAAGCGAGCCGTAACAAGTGTATGGACATTTTAATTAAACATTGACATTCCTGAGTTTGCTCTAAAGTACCCTATTTTGAAGGCAATTAAAAATATTTTTATTAAAATATGTGAAAATGTAGTTTTTTGTTAGTCCGGCTCAAATTTGATCAGATGGTATAATACTTGCTTTACAAAGTTTTTTCTTGTAGCTATCACCCTTAACTAAGCAAGATCGTATAGAGATTATTTAATTTGAAAACAATCAAAAAGTATTAAATATAAGGCGTTTCAAGATTTATATTAACCTCTCATAAGAAAATACTTAATTTATTTCGTAAAAAAAATTTTTTTTTGTATTAATTTCTATATATTTTTAGTTATATAATCTAAACTATAAAGCATTTAATTTTCCTATAGAGTACATCAAGAATATGAGCACATCCATACACACATACATGCTCCACTGCATAATTCATGACGTTGCCGCTGAAACAAAATGGCATGAAACACTTTTATAGTAGGCTAATTCAATGTGTACGCAAAAAACTGCCATCTCTCAAGTTGTTTTTTGTTGTACACGTGAGATTTTTCGTCTTATCGTAGGTCAACTGAAAATATCATAACAAATAGTCACTGAAGAGAGCAGCAAAAGTGTTGTTGCGTTTGAGCAAATAAGATGGAAATAAGCGATAATGCACACATATTTGAAGCATACTTTTAGACGGGTTGGTAAAACTTATCCTCTGCGCATGTGTATGTGATTTTACCAGCATTCAGATTATGAATAAGTTACTGTTTTGCGTAAGAAAACAGCTTTAGAAAAAAAAGATACGATGTAATAATTAAGTTGGAATTTATTTAAGCAAATAGCTTGTAGAGAGAAAGAATAATAAGTGAATATTAAGGTAAACACTGATGATTTTAAAGAAAGCAACCCACCAGATATTATTTGGTATATTCAAAAATACTGGTTTTTCGTAGTTTTTGGTTGGCCAAGCAATTGCTATGTGTGTTACTGACTCGCGCTTGAATATTTTGTTGTCATACGAGAAATGATTGAATGCAAACTGTCAAAAGTTTATTCATGTTTTGAAGAGCTATTTACGCACGCAACACAATTGCCATCGACTGTGAAGTAGAGATTGGTTCTATACATCTTCTCCCAGTAAAAAGAGTCGGCGTGGACTTATCATCCTCATTCTGTGAGTTTTAAATGATCAGGATGACGAGACGTGTTGAAATCCGGGTGACTGTGTGTCCGCCCGTTTGGCCGTGCAACGATAACTTGAGTAAAATTGAGATATCTTGTTGAAACTTACTACACATATTCCTTGGCACCCAAGAGAGGTTGGTATTGGAAATGGGCGGAATCGGACCATTGCCAAGCCCATACAAAAACTTTTAAAGTGCCACAACTAAGCCGTAGATTAAGATACAAAAGTGTAATTTGGTATAAGAGACCGCGGTAGCCAGGGACACCTGTTGTTTTAAAAATTTGTCGAAGTGGGCTCTAAATAGTTGAATGTACATATCTTCTAAACCGCTTAAAATATATCAACCAAACTGAGAAGAAGTAATTTCATCACCTCTTCAAACCCTGTAAAATATGTAAAATCGGATAATAACCACGCCCACTTCTCATATAACGGTTATGTTACTACTAAAAGTACGATAACTCACTAAATAATTGAGCCACAAGCATTAAATTTCATAACCAGAATAGTAGAGAAAAGATTTTTAGGATCTGGTGTGAAAATTGAACAAGAGGCGTGTCACCGTCCACCTTTAGGTGAAATCCTACAAGTATATCTCAGGAACTACTCGACCGATTTTAACTTAATTTGGTGGGTGAGGTTACCCAAACATTCTTATTAGACACTGAAAATGGAATGTGCAAAAACGGATGACAGCTACGCCTAATTCCCATATAATTTACAAATCAAACATCAATAATGTTATCAGAATAAAACTTTGCTCAAATAGTGTCTGCAAGGTATTTCATCCTACGTCCAAAAATAGTCGAAATGACACAATAACCAAAAATGGGTAAAAGCAGGTCAACACTTCCCTTAGCCCCCATTTTCCTACCATAAATATTTTCGAACCTCTGGTTCACTTTATACCGCATCTTTATTGGTCAATATGTAAGAAATCTTAATGAAATTCAGAAAGAATCTTTTTCTAATAACAGTGTTCCTCTTTCCTTAAATGGAAGAAATCACGACGCAATTAGTTTGATGTGCCATAAATTTTTGCCATAACCTGAAGGGGTTCCTCCGCCTTTGTTCCTTGCAAGTGTCAAGAGTAAGAAATGCTCGGTTACAACCGAACGTAGCCCTTCCTTGCTGTTGGTAATGATCTCGATTTTTTTAATCCATTCTGAGGTGTGTAATTTTTCACAAAAAATGATTGCTTTTCGAAGGCTACCCTTTTGTCAAAATTCAATATTTACTTGCCTCTCGATCATTACCGGCATTCATCTATTGTAATAATAAACGTTTTTGGTTTTGAGATTTGAGATATTTTTAACAGAAAAATCTCCTGGAGATCGTCCACGAGATCAAGGGAATCCAAAATTTTTCAAAATCAATCGTGTTAAAGTAAATAAAATTCAATAAATGGTCTGTTTTTTATTAATTTATTAAATAAAATGCATCTAAAAAAAATTAGAAAAAAATTGTTTTTTTCTGATTTGCAAATGGATATAACCCCTTAGAAAAATCAATGGAAGAAGAAGAATTGAATAATCAACAATGCTCGTGACAAAGTGCATTTTTCTTCTTTTTTTCAAAATAACGAAAGCGTACAGCAATTACACTTGCGAAAACCTTATCGCCGCAATAGCGTAGCGCAGTTGATAAGTTTGCACCTGATAAACGTAGTTATGTTGTCAACTGAAATAAAAGCCGCACACATATAAATGGATTTAAGTAAAATAATAATTTTTGGGATCTTCAAAAAAAAATTGGTGGTTTTAAATCATGAGAACATGGATAAAACATAGTATCGACAAAATATACACTTCAGCCGAATCACAACAGCTTGATCGTATTGATGATCAGAGCTATCTTTCTTTTCGCTTGTAAGACATAAAACCTAAGACAAACACTGCCTTGGCAGCTCGTCGTCCATTTTTATATGAAATTCGAACAAATTGATAATAATAAATTAAGCTTTGTGTAGCACCATTACAGCACTATTTGCAGATTCCATTTACATTTTAACTTATCAGCACATTAAGAATATAAAAACAAATGTTTTGTATTTATATTGTTTATTTATCGAATTTTATATATCGAATATAACATACGAGTATATATAGTTGTAGTTATATTTGTGTAGTTTTTCATTTATATTATACAATTAGGCAAAAATTCAGTTATTTTATGAAACTTTTTTAAATTTTGTGCGAATTATAATTTGGGGAGTCTGTCAAAAGCGCATAATTACAAATGCATATAAAAATACGGTTTTACAAATTCACGGTTACACTCTAAATTTCATGCTGACAAGCATAATACATACATACGAGTACATATGTATATACGCTTATCACCGTTACGTTAAAGTTGAGTTGTTGTTACAAAAGTATACCCTTTTCTATTTTATGACTTGCTGATTTATATATTAATACCGTTATTTTAACAGTTAACACAATAAATATGAAATCTATACTTCCGAGATTTCTTCAAATCAATTTTTGCACTCAAAGCTCATTGTCAATAAATGCACATTTGGACATATTCAAACACTAGAGACTCTCCAGTGTACTTCTATATTTCAAACAGAAAATCAACTATGTGTTCGTTTCGTAATTTCTCCACTTTATATATGAAAGGAAGTACAAAGTTTACTAGTTGAATTCAATATAACGGGGTATGTGGATACATCATAAATGTGGTATAAAAACTTGTCTTTATCTATTTGATTTATAGCAGCCGCTTTGATTTATACAATTTGCTTGTTTGATTCGGCGCATTCTAAAAATTGGCGATAAGTGAAAAGGTTTATAAAATGCTCTTAAAATTTGAGTTTTAAATGAGCAATTAGTATAAGCGCTTGAGAAATGTCATGGGTATGAGTAGAAATATGTTTAGACATTTATTTATCATTTAATAGTGGAAGGTCGGAAAGTTTAAAAGAGAGCAACATGAATATGTGTCACTTCTCGGAGTTATACAATAATATAATGAAGTCTATTTTATCAAAAAGGATGGACATGTGTCATAGTTTTGTCATTATATATATATTTCTGATGGTTTCTACAACTTTTAGGACAGTAGTTTTCACTATATTTTCAATGAACATTACTTTATTGTATATAAATTATATATGGTAAAATGTGTGGCTACACTATTGAACCTAAGTCCGATTCTACTCAATAGTCAGACGATAGATCTTTTGTGTGGACCCTTAGACTCTCAGAAGATGTCATGAAATTTCCTCTGACTTTCATCAATTATCCTTATAGTGAACGACAGCTATGCAATATTTATCTACAGAGCTACAGTAAATATGTAAATATAAATTTTTATTCTATGTAAAGCACTTGAGGATCAGCCTCGTTTAATTGGTTACAAATATTTGGCATTCATAGTTCTTCTGTTGATTGAAGCTGATAATATAATACATTTAAAATGTATTCTTCTTTATAACACTCTCGCAACTTGTTGCTAAGAGAGCATAATAGTTTGTTCGCCTTAAACTAATCGAGATAGATATAAGGTTATATATAAATATATATATAAATGATCATGATGAAGAGACGAGTTGAAATCCGGGTGACTGTCTGTCCGTCCGTCTGTGCAAGAGATAACGATTGACTAAAAATTTAGATATCTTAATGAAATTTGGTACACGTGTCCTTGGCACCTAAGGAGGGTTAGCATTGCAAATTAGCAGAATCAGTCCTTTGCCATAAATTTGCTTTAACTAAGTACTAAATTAAGATATAAAACTGTAATTTGGTACAATCACAGTAGCGTGGAACACCTGTGCGCTAAAAATTGATTAAAAGTGGGCATGACCCCGCCTCCTAAATGGTTTAATGAATATATCTTTCAAACCACTAAAGATATATCAACCAAACTTGCTGACAAGAAGTATCTTTAGCATCTCTTCATACTCAGTGGAAAAGGGTAAAAGCAGATAATAACCTCGCCCACTCTCCATGTAACGGTTATGTTAAAAACTGCTAAAAGTGCAATAACTCACTGAATAAATGCGGTATGGAAGTGCTTGATAGGAGGATAACTATTTTCGAACTTCCGTTTCATTTTATACCGTATCTATTGGTCAATATGTAAGAAATTTAATCAAATAAAAAAATCTCTATCTAATAACAGTGTGTGCTCATACCTACAATAAATGAAAGCAGGGCAATATTTCCCCTAGTCCGCTTATACCCAAGATTCGGATTTTAAAACATCCGCTTGACTTAATATAGCGGACTTAACATATATATTGGTCAAGCTGTTAGGTTTCTTAATTTGCAAATTGCGAGAGTATAAAATATTCGGTTGCACCCAAACTTAAGCCTCCCTTACTTGTTTTTTATTTTAACAGTGATTATTATATAATCATTATATAATTGAAGCTGTGAAATGTTTATCAAAAGTTTTTTATATACATATTCTTCTATAAAATAATTATTAATTTTTGTTTTAAGATTTGTTCATATACACTTTAATATTTTATTGATTTTGTAGAACTTATAATTACTTTATGTTGTTTTGCAACTATTATTTTTTATTAGTTAATATTTTCATTTGGTTTATTAAATTTGTATTTCATAACATATAATATTTTTTACTTAAATAAAATTTATAATCTCAAAATTTTTTTTTCCCATTACTATTTTTTTTTTTTTTATTTAAAATATTTGATTTTTATTTAAAATTTTTTTGTTTGCATAGTAAATTCTCACAAATATATTTAGTTATTTATTTTTTTCCGTTTTCGAAATTTTTTTTGATACATTTTAATGCATTGGTAGTATTTATAAAAGTTTTTAGTAAAATGTTGAGTTATATATATAAATACATTCATATAAACATTTTAACATGCATATGTGTATAATATTTTGTTACATACAAACACGATACTTATAGATAACATAGTTATAACAGTTTGTGCTTTTATAATAGATGTTGCGTTATTATCTGAACGCTCACATATTTATTCATATTTATATTTAGCAATGTAATACACCTCCTACATAGTGTTTTGCATACTTTTTAACAATTTCCGTTTCCGTTTACTTTGGTTTCAATAAGGAAATATTGTATCCAGCTGAGGCACTTAAGAAACACAAAATGCGTTTGCATGTTTTTTTACATACATATATAAGTAGCACGCTTGAAGTCACATATAAACCGATATTCCAAATATATTTTTTTCAAATATTTAGAAACAAAATTATTTAAAATCAAACTTTTTTCCTCATAATCTTTACTTTCATAACCTTTAATACATACAAATAAAATGTACATTGTATATGCGCTATCGATTATCTCTATATCGATATCCATTGGATTTAATTCTATCGCACAGTGGCTACGCTAAAGTTTGGCTAAAATTACTCGAAGAGCTCAAAAGCAGTAAAAAAGCGAAATTTGAACGTTAACGTATGAAATTAGCGGGAAGTTGCAGGGATGGCCCTTGAGGCCAACCGTTTTCCACATTTTTTTTTTTAGTATTGTGATAGTTTACAACTTTACAAATACCATACTAAAACTTTAAATCGATATTTTGAATAGTTTTTGAGTAACAGCCTTCTAAAGTGTAGCCACTCAGTTTAATCAGCTCAATTATTTTATCTTTCAACGCCTTTTTTTCAAAACTTTTTACATTTTTCAAATTTTCTTGCGAGATGACTCGGAGACACATATTCCGATCACTTTAACATTTTCTACATGTTATGTACTTATATAGTTGTCCATTAATGACCTGCGAGTTTTTTGAACTGATCAAAAATCTAAAAATTATAAATTTTGGGTAAAATGCAACTTTTTTTTTAAAAACGCCGCCATTTTAGTTGTTCTCAACTTATGATTTTTGTTCGACCATTGCTCATTGTACGGGCAATATATTCAAGTAAAATTTGTTTATCATTTCAGCATACCTATTTAATTTAATTTTCAATTAAATTATTTTTAAATATATAATATATACATAGGTATAAACAGAATTTTAATGAAGTGGAAATTACCCTTCCTAAAAGCTGCTTTTTAAAATAAATAATAATGAATACATTTTCGTATAATGAAACAATTTACTTATAAAACAAATAATATATTTAACGGCAATAAGATTATTTTAAAATATTGTTTCAAAATACAAAAAGCTTAAAAATAAATAAAAATCTAAAAAAATGCAAAAAAAAATAAAAAATTAAATATGTATAATATTTATAAATATTAATTATTTCAAAACTCATCTGGTAAGTTCAAAAAATAATGAATCTATATAATTTTTGCATTATTAAGACATACTCAATTAAACTGAGTTTCACATTGATAATTAACATTATAGTAGATCAAATTTACGCTATAAACTCAACTCTCGCCAACACAAGTTTTACCATAGAAAAAATTGTACGCATAGACCACATTAAATACCACTTTTTTTTTAAATTATGAAAAACTTTTTTGTGGAAGCAAGGGTATCATTCACGAAAATAATAAAAATGACAGGACCAAATATGCATGTTTCGCATAAAAATCTAAAATACATATAAAAAATTTTGAAAAATAATTTTGAACTAAAATTAACAAATTAAAATACTCACTATAAATTTTATATATATATATATATAAATAAATAATGAGTGCGAAGAAAAATATAATTTTCCAATTTTAATCAACTTGATACCACTGTGCTAAGCTAAGCACGTTGTTTGTTGTGCTTCCAATCGTGCCAAATTCTATTAATTGCAAGCAGATTAGCCAATTAGCCATACAAAGAAACCCGTATGCAGAACTTTTTCAAACATTTGTACATTTTATTTACATATGAAGGCGTGAGTTAAACTCACAAGCGAAACATTTAAGCGCAAATTCGTAAAAAATAACAAAATTAGCAGTAATTTTGTTTCATATTCTTATGAGTATACATATGTATGAGTGCGCTTATATGTACATATAAATATTTTTATAAAATTTTATTTTTTCACCCTCAAAGTACAATATATTTTTAGGTTAGTATTAATTTCATAAATTTCACTTTAATTACGGAATAATTTTCTTTTTTTAACTTGTTCCAATTTTAACAATTACATAATAACTTCAGCTGCAGCAACATTCCGTTTTCATTTTATGTATTTCATAGCGTTTTCTTGTGTAATTTTAATATTATTTTTTTAATATAAATAACGAATTGACAAATTTATATTCACAGTTAGTTAGAGAGTAAAATATACAACAACTTAAAAAGCAAAAAACTATTAAGGCTTTCATTTAGAGTAAGCAACTTATATAAATAAATTATATAAATACCTAGGCTAATAAACTATTGTTCGTATTTATTTTTGTGTACTCTACAAAAAAATTTGTAAATAGCTAATAGAAGTAACACAAATCTAAAAATCAACGCTATGCAACACTGGGCGCATATGAGGTTAATAATAGGAGCGCCTGTGATCATTGCGTATGCTGTTGCACAGGCAGCACGATATCACGCTACCCAATAACTGCAATAAAATAAAAAAAATTAATTTTATTATTTTCAATAGTCAACAAAAAGAAGAAGAAGCATTAGCACACATATGATTGTATGTAAGTGTCTGTATGTGAACCCACCTCCAAAGCAATCATCACACAAGCGATTATATTGAAGGAACGCAACAAGCTTAGCCAGTAGTCCTCAAACATTATGCGACAGCCGATGCCGATCAGATTTTCACTTTTCGTATTATCGCCATTCTTGAAGCACGTTATTGGCGGCATGCGATCATTGGCTATATAATCGTGAGGGCTTGCCCGACCGCAACAACCGAGCTGTCAAAAAAAATAAATAAAAAATGTTTAGCATACCAAACATATTTATACCTATATATTCACACGAGCTTTGTTAATTCGTTAGTCGTTATTCGGTAGTTTTTTACGTGCATATTGACAAGCTAGACAATTTTTTCATTACTTGGTAATATCAAAGCAGCTGTTTGTTTTGCGTGGAAGCCTAAAATGTTCATTTGATTCATCGCTACAAAATAATTTCAGACAAACTTTTCAACAATAAGTATTCAATAAAATTGAATCAAATATTTTGGAACAAAATTTACCAATACTACTGAAACAGGGCAAAAAGTATGTTCACAGTGCAGTGTTTTAACGAACTATCAACTAACGAATAACCAGATCAATATCTTCGATCTGAATACCCCTATTGTATATGTAAACACTTCTGAGTTTATGAGCTTATATTCGTAGTATATCAATCAGCGTTATCGGAAATTCCATGTTATTAAATCAATGTCATAAATTGAAGCCTCGGTGCGAACAGAGAATATGTGTTATAGTATACATATTTAAACGCAATTCTTATGAAGTAAACAATAAATGAAAAGGGGAAAGTAGTAATTGATCAAATTTGACCTACAATTTTAGATATTTTTATACAAATCTATCAGTTTCGACGGCATATTCCGAAACCCACGTCTACTCACGTATGCGTTCGCGAAATGTAGGGTCCACAACTACGTTGTCAAGCATCTTTTTTGCGACCTCTAGTCGCCGTCGCGTTTGCAAAAGATTTAGGTCTTTTGGTACGAGTCTAGTATTGACACGCTTCTTACACAATACATTAACCAAAATGTGTTGTGTCCATCTACATATGTATAAGATCGCCTGTTATCTCTCTGATGCCAACACGATGATTTTCAAGCGCTTTTTCTTTACCTTTTTCAATGTTATCATCATTAATCGGCATAGATGGGTGGACGATTCGCATGAGGCAAGTTTTTGATGATATCACGGCCTTCATTGAATGCTTTGGGCCATTTAAATACTTGTTTTCGTGGTAAAGTAATTAATATCTCCAATCGATTTATTTTGAACAATATGCAATTATTATAACTACGAGGATGTTCCTACTGTGGGTCTGACTCGCTGAAGAACCCACTACTCATACATATATTTTTTGAAGAAGCTCAAAAAAAACTTGCAGTGCGCGAGATAATACGGCCGATTATACACGAACTTATTATAATGATATGGGTGTTCATCGTTTGGGATATATATTCCCACACTATGCATTTTTAAAAACGTTTTTGTAAAATCATTAAACACTTACCCAAGTCTCATACAGAGACATGGCTCCAGGGCTGTTCAGCTCTTCTTCCCAAGCCACATCCAAATTATTCGAGACATGTGATGCTGTTGATTGCTCCCCTCTCACCAATAGGAAAGTGACTGCGATTTGGCCTATCATCACAATCCAAAGGAAAGCGATAAACTGTAAAAATAACGAAATTTATATATGTATAGGTGCATAAAAAATATAAAAGTACATATATGAAAACGAAGCCATGACATTTAATTTAAGAGAAAATAAATAAATTTTTCTACTCCGCATCACTTACCGTAATCGTACAACAAACGCTTTCGCGAGCCGCACCAAAGAATCCCAGCAAGAATACAACAATTGTGGCCACACCTAAACCAATATATGAATAGGCGGCCAAAGCCCCGACTTCATTGACTCTATAGGACGAGAGCACATAAACGCCGAACGAAATTAACACCAAGGCAAAGACCTGAAAGTAAGCAAAGAAAATAGTTTGATTAAAATATTTACGATATATACATACGTTTATATAAAAAATAACGGTATTTACATTGAATACAAACTTGCAATAAAATATAACAAAAATTTTATAACTTGCACAAGCAATTTCACGCAAAAAATTTAGTCCTATAACAATCAATTTCAACAATTGAAAAATGTCATAAAAAATCTTTTTATATGACCCCGTTAAAAAAAAAAAACCTTAATCCTAACCACTGAATAATAGCCTTGCACTGAACCATAGCGTTTAATTGAGATTTTAGGTCTGAAGGTCGTGAAGTCATCGAAAACTTGCCTCATGTGAGTCGTCAATTCACGTTTTCGATAACATCAAAAAAGTTAGAGAAACAGTTTTTGAAAATCGTTTTGTTGGCATCAGAGAGATAACAGTCACTTATGGATCGACCCAACACATTTCGGTTAATGTTTTGTATATGAAGCGTTAACGCTACACTCGTACCAAAAAACCTGAATATTTTGCAAAAATGACGTCGAGTAGAGGCCGTACATTCATAAAATGTATTATAGACAGTTATAGGCTGTTGACGTGACGTGAGTTTATGAATCTGACGTCAAAACTGTCCAAAAATCCAGCAAATGGTTTTTTAAAAATGAGCCGAAACCGCCATCCCAGCCGACACTTACAACAAGTGTATGTAGGGAAAATTGGATTGAGCGTTGGCATGCTTGTGTTGGCTCAGTAGCAGCCTCTATTGAAGGGGATAATAAAGATTTGTATTAAAATACATGAAAATGTGTTTTTTTTTTAATCCGGGTCAAATTCAGTGGGTATTATTTATTATTGGAATTTCACTTATTTTCAATTTGAATATTCTACAGAAAATGGCAATGCACTAATTGATAGCTAATTAATGGAAAACATTTTTTAAGAGTGATCTCATGCTCGTGTAAATATGTTTGTGTGTACATATACATATACTTATATATAGTTCAACGTAATTTTATCTGTTTCGCTACGGTTTTTGATCATACTCTCAATTGATGTTAAATTAAAAGCTGTAGTGGTGTCATGGCGCGAAATAAAAAGGCACACATATGTATGTATATATACATACATATATACGAGTATGTAGATATACATATGTATGTGCATGCTTATAAAAGTAGTGCTCATCCTCTCCATCGCAACATAGTGAATCAATTTTGATGTTGAAAAGACGTGTCTCGCTCTCAGATAGGCCTAAATAAATGGATAATATACAGATGTATAAATGTATCTGCATGAGAATGTAGTGTAGCCGAATCTCTCGTTTCTCTTGCTAAATTTGCAATTTTTTAACCGTGGGCTTAATTAGTAAGACTTCAGATTCTTTAGAGCGATTATTATATCGGAATGATCAGGAAAAATATAATCTCTCTGAATTTTAAAATTCAGGCATTTTTCTATTTGTCATGCGTTAAAGCAAATGACTCATTAGGTTTCCTACCAGATAAAACAACATCACAATGGCTTAGTAATTATCATCATAGTTGGAAAAATACGATTCAAAATAATCTGCGCGGTCGAAGTTCAAAAATCGTTTGCCACTCATTTAATGTTGGCTCACTTTTATTCACGTTCAGTCAACTGTAGATGTGTGTCTGAGTGTTTCATTTTTAGTATGCCATAATCTATATCTACAAATTTTATACAAGAATAATTTGAATCAAAAATACTTTGATATTCCATTGAAGTAAGAGCTTACTATTTGTTTACAACCACAAAATTTTCCAGGTAATTTATGTCATAAAAAACCCTCTATAAAGGGTGTTGACAATGTATGCTTAGCAAAATTCTTCTTGTTTTTTTGTAAAAAAAAGCCGAGTAAAGTTCGTTACAAACACAAACAACACAAAATGAAAAAAACGGTTAACTTCGGCGACAATACCCTTTACAGGTGTATTCCATATAGCATAAAAAGGTGTGGAAAGATCTTTCTTTCATTATTTTGAACAGTCAGTTTGTATGGCAGCTATATGCTATAATTCCGATATTCTGACAAATGTGCAGCTCCTTGGGGAGAAAACGATGTGTGTAAAATTTTAGATCGATATCTCAAAAATTGAAGGACTAGTTCGCGTATATACAGACGGACGGATATGACTAAATCGAATCATTTCGTGACGCTGATATATATATTTTACAGAGTCTGCCACGTTTTCTTCTAGGTGTTACAAACTTTCAAGCAAACTTAAAATACCTAGTTCAAGATGTATAAAGTCATCACTCAGACACTTTCTGTTCTGTATTCCCAAAACTCAATTATCGGAGTAAAATTAGCAAATTTTTTGAAACAACTAAAACTATTTCAACGAAGGCCCATAACAAATATCGTTGAAGTGCTATCTCTTTAATTCAACAGGAGCATTTTTTGAAGACGAAAATAAAGATCTGATTTATAATTCTGATATTAACTGGATTAAAACTTTTATATTTAAAATTCAAAAATAAGTATAAAAATTCTTGTAGAGCAAATTTAATCAAATGGCAGCACTGCATATACATGCTACAACTGATATTAATAAATACAGCGATGAGAAGCAAAGACAACTATGGACACGCATACCGAGGGCATTGGCTGCCAATGCGAACTGTGTCGGACGAGCTGGCGTCATACATACATACGAACTACATAAATACGCGCAAACTATTTTCATATGTACAAACATTTTATGTATTCCCAGAAGTACAGTGTGCTTGTGAACATAAGGAATACTTAAGTGGGTAAGACTTACGTAGGAGTTTCCATTTAAAAACTACTACAGTGGAAATCCATTAAGGAAAAACGATGAAACAAAATAGCCAAAGACGCATTTATTTATGATAATATTTATGTATATATATAAAGATGTATTAATATACAGGTATGTATACTGATGTGTGACTCAGACAGATGTGTGTGCAGACTTTCTATATAAACTCGCATAAATACTGTACAATAAGTAAATATGCACAGGCGTTTATTATGTGGGGTGCATATCAACAAGGACCACATGGAGGTGCTGGAAATTCGCGTTCAGCAGACACTACAGTGTAATTTGAAGCTGGCAGTTGTCGTCAGTGAAGGGTGGCGGGCTATGAAAAGGCATAACACATGGCGACATTAAGTCGATTACTGCGGGCAACAAAGAAATTTAAGGCAATAATATGCATGCGTGTGCTTTATAGAGTCCCAAGGCAATGGCTGATGAGATTTACATATGTCGCTCAAGGTCAAAACTAAAGTGCTGCAAATAAAGTAATAACAGTACGAGTACCCATTCAACTGTAATCGCCGTTTTATTTAATTTACACTTATGATATGTATTATTATTGTGTGAGCAATTTCTTGTGACACTTTACTCTTATCACGTAGTGTCCAGGGCATCATTTTATTCACGGTTTGAATTATTAATTTCAATTAACATATTTAAATTTATGCAAATGTAAATTGCTTCAATTGAGGAACGAAATTGGCACGCATTAACTTTGGCGAAGAATGTTACAATTCATTTTTTGGTCTGGATATGGCCTTAAGCTCGGGTTTGACTCGATGTATATCCCAGGTTGACCACTTTGACTGCAACTTTTTAACTATATTCTTTGGACTATATAGATCCGATTTTAGAATATTTCTAAAGGGATTCATCAACAGTCACTCTTTGAAAACCCTTTAAATTCAAACTATTCGAGTCAAATTGTGACATAAGAAATACATACATACATAAATACATTTCTTAAAAGCCTTACATTGACCTTTTGTTGTAAGTGAGTCCGAAAAGAAAACACAGGGTTGATTCTCATGCCAAAGGTAGCGATGGATCTCACTTGAGCAGATATGACGTTGGTCCTCTGTGATACCTCCAAAACTTCTAAAAATAGATGACCAGATTCTCATACCTGTTCGAAGTGTTTTGAGCTAGCGACAAATTTGCTAAGACCGTAAATATCAATCCTAGCTTCTTCGCTAGGTTCGCCAGAGGTGTGTCTACCGATATATAATATTTCAATCTCAGTCTAGCAAAAGCTTGGTAATAGAGGAGAAAGTGCCGAGAGGATTCCAAATGGATTATACCTCCATTTTTTAGATATCGATCTGCACACGACCTTTTCTCCCCAGGAAGCTGGTTATTTGTCGGTACCGCGGTATCGGACAGCTATAGAGTATAGCTGAAATACAATATAATCGATCAAAACCAAGTTCTTGTATAGAAAACTTTTATATTTTATATTTGTCCAAGTCAGCGCGACAATCTCCGAACAAATTGTTCAGGTCAGTCACTAGCTGATATTCAAACTGATGGATCAAAGTTAAAATTTAGATTTTTTTACACCCTTTTCTGCTTTAAAAAATGCATTTGTGAAGTTTAAAGTCACTGTCAAATATGTAGTATATAAATTTTTATCCTGTATGAAGAAAGTTAAATAAATTAAGCTTTTATCTGAGACATACAAAATTGTTCGCAAGCAATATTTACATGCGACAGAATTTAAGGACCATCCTAATGCGTATAATATGCTCCTAGACACATTTGTATCTATATTTATTCTGAGTCGCCCTCTAGAAAGTTATTTAAGCAATTGAAATTAACATAAAAACTGTAATTTACAAAATTTAACTATCAATTTTAAAATTACTTGATGCTTTCCAAAACGCGATAAAATAGCGTTGATATTCCTTTTTGCCTTTTTCTCTTAGTTCTACTATAATTTAGTAGTCACGAGCAAATACCCTATAGAGTATAAGCGTTAATCACTAAATTAATCTAGAAGTTTGCATGCGCCTAGATTAGACATACAGGCGGTGATGGAACATACCATACAATGACTTACTATTCAATTAAACACTTAGCTCAACCGGCAATTGATGTCAGTAGTGACGTCTCATAGTTGATTTAAGTGAATAAGTGCGCGATAAAGTAATGGGTGATAAAGGTGGTGACAGCAAAAATAGCAAAAAGTTCAAGGAGCGATCTTTACATTTATGA